AATAATAACAAGAAGAAGAAGAAGAAGAAGAAGAAGAAGAAGAAGAAGAAGAAGAAGAAGAAGAAGAAGAAGATGATGATGATGATTGAGACATAGAAGAGCAGCTGGGAAAGAACTAGAGGAGATCCTTACAAGTGGTGATGTGTTTCTGAAGACTAAGGCTAGGATCATCCCATACTGTGGTATTCCTGATTGCCTATATGGATGTGAAAGCCGGAGCATGAAAAAAGCTGTCGGAAATCAATAAACTTGAAATATGGTGTGTTAGAGAAGATCATAACTGCCAGAAAAACAATAGGGTGCTTCACTAAATCAAGCCTGAACTCTCTCAGAAAGCAAAAATGCCAAAACTGGCACTATCATACGTTGTTAAAAAACAATAACAATAATGCTTGGAAGAGTTTAAGAGAGTGCGGGGGGAAAGACGATGACAAATCAGATGGATTGATTTGATTGATTTAATACAGGAAGCCGCAGAATCAGGGCTGTTAAAAAACAGAACCTTTTGGAAATCTCTAATTCATAGGGTCACCATAAACCAAAAGCAACTTGATGAAATATAATAATTAATACTTTTTCTCCTTTACAGTGCAAGATAAGCAGCTTTCATTTCATTCAGTAGAATGTGGAAGTCATAGTTACAACAGATTAATCCACCAGGATAAGCAGAAAAGACTTGCTCGGGGAAAGAGGAAAAAATCGTGGTCCTACATGTAACATCTCTAGGACAAGTCACTTAAAAATCTGGTCATTATGGAACCAAAGGCAAATTCTGATGTCATAGCCACTCTTATGAATCTTAGTAGATTAAAGGTAAACTTTGAGTTTGATCTCAGAGATTTTGATAGGATGCAGCAAAGAGCTCAATATATTTTCCTATGGATCAATGAATGCATTGAAGTGCATAGGAAGGAGAAGATAGTTATTCAAATATATCTTTGAAACTCAGTGGCAGGTAAGCTATTTTATGTGCCTGGCTTTATGTCAAAAATGATTGTGATAATGTAACAGCAATGGAAATGACATTCTGTAAGAAAACAGGAAAATATAATCTGTTTTCTTCGCTCCATAAGACGCACAGACTTTCCACACCCCTGTTTTGTGGGAAAAAAGTGAGTCTTATGGTGCAAAAAATACAGTATTTTATGTGCCTGGCTTTATGTCAGAAATGATTGTGATAATATAACAGCAATGGAAATGACATTCTGCAGCTGCTTCCAGATTAGCCTTTTATTGTGTTATAATCCTGCCTCATTCATGGATTTTTATACTGCTTCTGTGTCCTTCCCTACCACATGCAATCTGTTAAAGAGAGAACAGCTGCCCATTGCTTTCGACTGATAGAGCCAGGACCTGTTGGTCACATTCTGGACGTTCCATGTAATCAGAACAAATCTATTAGGGCATAAGTCTTTCCTTCTGTTTTCAAATATTCACTTATAGATTGTGGGGCCAAAACACTGGGATGTGATGAAAACGCTTGAGAACAGGATTTTGGAATTCGAACCCATCAAATGTTATTTCTCCATTAACTTGCTTGATGCTCAAAAGACTTTCTAGGCCTACTTAAAAGCCAGCAAATGGATTCACTAAGGTGCAACCATACTGGCCATTTGGAGTGGACTGGTGCAGGTTCAATAGAGTTGCTTAAGGTTGTGGGGGGAGCAACAATGTGCCATTTGGTGTGATCCTCAGCTCCAAATACCATATGGAACTCAAATGACCTTCTGGCCCCCTCCACTATCAAGTGTCAATTAAATGCTTTCCTTTTAAATTGAATACTGTCAAGGAAGGAAGCCAGAAAGAAAGTTGTGAGAGGGAATCAGTGAGTGAGGCAGGCCCACTTTCTGCTTCTGTATCAGAAAAGGAAGAAGGGAGCAGAAAAAGGAAGAGAGGGAAGACAAGTAGGAGAGACAGGAATTGGGTGGATTCCCCCTCCTCTTGACTGTTGTGTGTGCTGAGTGAGGTGATGCACAAAGTGGAAAGAGAACAAATGGCTCCAACAGTCATTGGAGGAAGGCACTGAGAAGAGACATTGCATTACTCAAGACCTCACTAAACCATCCAATTGGAAGTGAAATTATTTTTGCTTCTGCTAGATTATCACTGATGCACTTAATCACTTTTTTTGTTTTTTCCTTGTGTGTGGTACTGATCAAGAAACTGCTGGTTTATCACTGATGCACTTAATCACTTTTTTTTCTTATGTGTGGTACTGATCAAGAAACTGCTGGCAGCTGCTGTTTCAATTAGTACTTCACAAAAAGTCAAAGAAAAAAAATGTAATTTAATCTAAGTGGCTCAGCGAAACTAGAAGAGTCTAGGAGAGTCAAAACAAATGATTTAGCTTTTCCTGCCCCTATGCAGAGGAGCAGGGGAAGTATCAAATTTGCTAACATCCTGAAGTTACTTGCTTATTAAGCAACTTCAGGATACTGGAAATTGACAGCTGCAAGATTCAATTTTAGTCCCCTGGAACAACTGATTGGTTCAAAATTGGGAAAGGAGTACGACAAGGCTATATATTGTCTCCCTGCTTATTTAACTTAGATGCAGAATACATCATGCGAAAGGCTGGACTGGA